TAAATACAACTTATTAATATTTATAGCTTCAAGTATCGGCTCTACTGAATGTACCGATTTTAAGTGTATAGGATTGGTTAGCCAAGGGCGCTTACCGAATGGGCCTCTGTTGATGATGCGTACCTCTCGGATGACCGTAGGTGAGGCTAGGAGACGCGAGCCAAAGCGAACCGTCGCTTGTCTCCAGATCCCCAGGTCTGGCGGAACTGGATTCATGAAGAATAGTGGCACGCTATTAAGCTCAATGTCCGACTCATTTGCTAGACCCAGTCCTGAATGACGTTGCAAAGTCCCTCTACTTAAGGCTGACAATTGGCCGATACGCGCAAAATCGCTAGATTTTTCCCTTTCCCCTGTTGGAGTTGCAATTCGTTTTTCTGCCAGTTGGCCCATGGCTTCGATTGGGTCTCCTAAATCTCGAATGTTATCATTGCTGTCTACTGAATTCTTGTCCTCATTGGCATCCCTGGGGGAAATGGGAAATCTCGGCTGATTTGAGGTGAGCGTGGTTGAACCTTCTGGGTCACTCTCAGGACTGATGCCTAATAAAGGGTCTGGAGACTGTGGAGAACAATGCAGGGCTGACATGGCAAACACGAGAGGACAACCAATAACCGAGAAGTTGACTGGTAGTCGGATCAGTTGTGCAACCAGGATTTCCGAGCACTGGCCAGTCAGTTGTAAGTGGTCGCTAGAGCCGGCCTTAGGGTCGGTAACCTGTTTGAGGTCGAAGGTGACGGGAATTTGTTGCTGTTGCTGATGCAGCTGTACGTGACGATAGAGTGTAGTGGGAAGCGGCTGGGCCTGCAACCAGATGCAGTCGTTGAAATGACCCCAGCTGTCTGCAATACAAATTAGGCAAACGAGAAGCCTAGCATGTCCAGGCAATAGCCACGCGGATGCCAGATCTTTGTGGTACTGGTCGTTAGGAGGTCGCTCGACAGTACGAAGATCCTTATTGCTGCTTTGAGTCAATGATGGTGGACAACTGGTGGCCAGATTGAAGGCTATAGTTGGTCGAGAGGAGGGGCAAGAAATGCATTCTGAGGCCCCAACAACAAGGGCAGAATGAACCAAAATAACAGCTCCCTGACGGGCTGACAGGCAAACCTGACACCATTCTGGAGATAAATGGATACGAAATGCAAAGAGAATAAGCTATGCAACATTGTAAGAGGTGGATGATGGTACGACAGGAAAGTAAACTATATAAAAACCCAGCAATTAGGTCAATTATGTTACTAAAGAGGATAATTAGACGGAAATCCTCGAATCCACCTTTAAAATTGAAATCGTTTAGGCCTCCTATGCGCAGGCTAGAAGTGTTCGGGAATAAAATAGC